ACTTATATGCTATTATAACTATAAAATATTATTCTAATTAACCTTGCTAGAGTTTTCTAAAAAGACATTAACTTATTGCACATCTGTAGTAAGTCTTCTACACTGCAGAGGGATAATTTACTATTTTATAGACTATCTTAGTTTCCACGCACTACTACTACCTACCCTAGCTCTTGCAGCATGCAGTTGCTTACTCCTTTGTGCTCTATATCCTGTAGTTAGTGTCGCACGTGTCTTACGTGATATTATACCCATGTACTGCACTATTTACTTATTAGGCATAGCTTCTATCTTGTACAGTATATAGTTAGCTTAGAGCTCTATTAAGCTTTTTAGACCTTACAATACACTTGTTTAATGCACCTTGTTTAGATCTTACTACCTTGTTAACTTACCTCTTATATAACCCTTTCTTAGCTTATGCAAGAAAAAGCCTTAATGCAGCTAGCACGCCTTACTAAGTGCGCAATGCTATTCCTAACTACCTACTATACGTATGCATACTATATTACAGAATCTAGCTTGTAGGGCCTTTGCAAAACGTTTCTGTCTATTATCTATGTACTACTAACTGCTGGAGGTGGGTGCTGTTTAATTCTACTAAAAACCTAAATGCAGCAAGCGCTTAATGCTAGCTAAGTACTATAATGCTATTCCTAACTACCTACAAACTATACATATGCATACTATATTACAGAATCTGGCTTGTAGAGCCTTTGTGAAACAGTTCTGTCTATTATCTACGTACTACTAACTGCTAGAGGTGGATGGTGTTTAATTCCACTAAAAACCTGAATGCGGCTAGCGCCTAATACCAGCTAAGTACTACAATGCTATTCCCAACTACCTACAAACTATATGTATGCATACTATATTACAGAATCTAGCTTTTAGAGCCTTTGTGAAACGTTTCTGTCTATTATCTATGTACTACTAACAGCTAGAGGTGGATGGTGTTTAATTCCACTAAAAACCTAAATGCAGCTAGCGCCTAATGCTAGCTAAGTACCACAATGCTATTCCTAACTACCTACAAACTATACAGATGTATACAATATTACAGAATCTAGCTTGCAGAGCCTTTGTAAAACGTTTCTGTCTATTATCTACCTACTACTAACTGCTAGAGGTGGATGGTGTTTAATTCTACTAAAAACCTAAATGCAGCTAGCGCCTAATGCCAGCCAAGTACTATAATGCTATTCCTAACTACCCACAAACTATATAGATGCATACAATATTACAGAATCTAGCTTGCAGAGCTTTTGCAAAACGTCTCTGCCTATTTTCTACTTACCACTAACTGCTAGAGGTGGATGGTGTTTGATTCTACTAAAAACCTAAATGCGGCTAGCGCTTAATGCCAGCCAAGTACCATAATGCTATTCCTGACTACCTACAAACTATATAGATGCATACAAAATTACAGAATCTGGCTTGCAGAGCCTTTGTGAAACGTTTCTGTCTATTATCTACGTACTACTAACAGCTGGAGGTGGATGGCGTTTAATTCCACTAAAAACCCAAATGCGGCTAGCGCTTAATGCCAGCCAACCACAATGCTATTCCTGACTACCCACAAACTGTATGGATGCATACAAAATTACAGAATCTGGCTTGCAGAGCCTTTGCAAAACGTTTCTGTCTATTATCTACGTACTACTGACAGCTAGAGGTGGATAGCGTTTAATTCTACTAAAAACCTAAATGCGGCTAGCGCTTAATGCCAGCTAAGTACTACAATGCTATTCCCGACTACCTACAAACTGTATGGATGCATACAAAATTGCAGAATCTAGCTTACAGAGCCTTTGTAAAATATTTCTGTCTATTATCTATGTACTACTAACAGCTAGAGGTAGATAGTGTTTAATTCCACTAAAACCCTAAATGCAGCTAGCGCCCCTTGCTGCCTTGCTAAACAATCCTCTTACTAAAAACAGTTAAGACCTCTCTAATGCCTACCTTTTAACTACTCTCTCTTCTGCCACAACGCCTATATAGCTTAACCGCTGCCTGCCTGTAGCTTTTAAACCTGTTTTTGTCCCTTTGCGCAAAAAAAACCCTAGTGTCCCAGGTCTAACCTTATGCCTGTTTCTGCGGTTTATTTCTTTGTTTTCTCTTACTTATATTTTTAGTTACTTTATTTATTTTACACTATGCTTTTCTTTATTCTATACTTTTACTATACTATTCTTTTACTATATTTTTTATATACTATATTTTCTATATACTATATTTTCTATATACTTTATTTTTATTTATACTATGTTTTCTTTTAAACTATACTTTTATGCTACTTTTTTCTATTTACTATATTTTTTTTTTTACTATTATAATACTATTATTTATGCTATATCTTTTTTTATAATATATACTATTATATTATACTAACTTTTATTTACTAACTGTACTTATATTTTTTTTATATAATATTTTTTATACTATATTTTTCTTTATACTATATACTTTTATAATCTTTATATGTTTATCTATTTACTTTACTACTTTATTTATATTTCTTTTTACAATGTATTTCTTTATACTACACTTCTTTTATACTATGCTTTTTTACACTATGTTATGTTTTATACTCTTTATTTTACTACTTTATTTTTACTTTATTTTTATTTTTACTTTATTCTTTTATACTATAACTTTTTCTTTATTATACCTTTATACTATCTTTTTTTTTTTACTATACTTTTATATAATAATCTTTTTACACTATACTTTTTTATTCTATACTTATTGTTTTTTTATATTATCTTTTTGTTTTATTATACTTCTTGTTTTTTTTATATTATATTTTTGTTTTATTATATACTCTAACTCTAACTTTTAATTACCTACACTATAATGCTTTTCTTTACTATTTCTTTTATTACTATGTTTTTCTTTAACTTTTCTAATACTATTTTTTTATTATAAAATGTTTTTATTTTATTATTTTATAAAATGTTTTTTACTTTATGTTTACTTTTATTTACATTACTTATATTTCTTTTTATTCTCTATTCTTTTCTATACTATACTTTTTTAATATTATATTATACTATATTTTTTAATATACTTTTATATAACTATACTTTTTCTTTTACTATTCTTTTACTTTTCTTTTACTTTTCTTTTACTTTTCTTTTACTTTTCTTTTACTTTTCTTTTACTTTTCTTTTACTTTTCTTTTACTTTTCTATTACTTTTCTTTTACTATGTTTTTTTATATGCTATATGTTTCTCTGCTATGTTTTTATTTATACTATACTTTTTTTTAAACTATACTTTCTTTTATAATTTTATATACTATAATTTATTTTATAAAATTTTTGTTATCTATAACCTTTTTAATACTATCTATTTTTTTATACTCTATATTTCTTTATACTCTATCTTTCTCTATACTTGTTTTTATATAATATTTTTATATAATATTTTTTTATAATATTTTTTTATAATATTTTTTTATTATATTTTCTCTACTTTTATTTATTTTATACTATACTTTATTTTATACCTATAGTTGTCTTTTTACTTTATTTTTTATACTATAACTTTTTTATTTTATATTTTTTTTATTTTATATATTTTTTTAATATATATCTTTTTTTTTATAATTTAACTTACTTTAATAGCTGTACTTAATTTAAATTTTATAATTATTTTAATAGTTTTTTATATTTTAATACCTTTTTTAACATTTTATTATATTTTATTATATTTTATTATAATGTATAATAGTTTACTATAATATACT